GATGTTGAGCAGTTTTTCATGTACCTGTTGCCCATTCATATCAAAGGAAACAGCAAAATGAAAAGGCAGCCTGCAGAGTGGAGACTATATTTGCAAACCATATATCCAATAGGGGACTAATATGCAAAATATGTAAAGAAATAACTCAATGGCAATAAAACAAATGACCCAATTGAAAAATGAGTAAAGCACTTGACTAGACATTTTTCTAAAAAAGACATACAAATGTAACTTGTGATTTTTTTAATACAGTGTATTTTAGATACATGTATTTTATGCGTAATTTAAATTCCACTCTTCCTCTCATCTGGTAGTTACGTACTGAGTGTTAGTGTCAGGCTGTTTAGCGGCTGTGGTCATGGATGTAGAGTTGGTGGTGGTCCTGTCCCAGAGAGAATTACTCTGAATAGGATAGAGGTTGGTAGGTCATAACCAAATCCCCAGTCCTAGCCTAAGACCTAGTAAGGTCAAGAGGAAGTTGTTCCTAGTGGCAGGGTTGTCCCTGCATGCTGCTTCAGATGGCAACTTCCACGTATAGCTAAGAACAGAATGAAGCCACAGGCTTATTCAGAGACCACAAGCTTCACAACTTCTGTTTAGCACATCTAATTATGGTTGTAACAACCCAATCTGGTTTTGATGCTGTTGCGTTTGAGGGTAGATCCCAGCCACTGATCAGCGCATTCAGATGGATCATCTTCCTCCAAAGCCCATGGCTTCTTTAGGTCTCCACAGCACCCCCAGGTTAGGGGTAAAGTCCCTAACCCTAGGACTGGTGGACCCACCTTCCCAGTTCAGTTTTCTCCCCGTGTGCAGGTCCATCTGTCTTTTCGCTCAGCATGTGGGTATCTCTTAGAGGGTGAAGGAAAGTGATTTGTCAAATGGTTACCAAGAGCATGGAGAAAGTTTATTTACCTCTTAAAATGAGTTTTATATTCCTTTTACATTGGTGAAATTCGTTCTCCTGTTTTGTGTGTGTGTGTGTGTAATGTTAAGAGATTCTCAGTTTTGATTGAATGAGATCATAATCTCATTTTTATTTTAAAATTCAACACTTTTATAGAGCTTAAATGAAACAAGACCAGTTAAATGTTTTGAGATGGAACATAGGTGGAAAATGCTGAATGTTGGAGTGTGATGCAGAGATTTCTCTGGACTGCCAGCCTCCCTTCCCTAGGTATTTGAAATTATATTAGGGCAATTAGATTATAACTCAAACTTCTGAAAACCATTTAGAGATAGATAAGAAATTCATTTCACTGTATTGTACTCAATATTGTAAATGAGATTCAAGATTAATTGTCTAATAGGTTGAAGTTTTAAATTGAAATTTCCTTCTATGTTATTTTCTATCACATATGCTTCACCATGAAGGTTGATTTGAAACCAGAGTTTCAGAAATACTGATACTATTATATTCTTTTCATCTAAATTGAAGTTATTATTATATTTTTAACTGGTCCTGGCCACTTCTTTGTATCTCTCAAACTGCCACTTTCTTTGTCATTTTTGGAGCTATTAATAGGTGGCAGATTGTACTGAGCCTGAGCATAGAATAAAATAAGTACATTGGTCCCCCTTATCTGTGATTTTTGCCTTCTGCGTTTTTAGTTAGCCTCAGTCAACCTTGATCCAAAAACATTAAATGGAAAATTCCAGAAATAAACCATTTATAAGTTTTAAATTTCACACTGCTCTGCATAGTGTGGTGAAATCTCACCCTGTCTCACCCAGGACATGAATCATCTCTTTGCCCTGGGTGTCCATGCTGTCTGTGCTAGCCACACGTGAGTCAGTTAGTAGCTGTTATGATTATGAGACCGGAAAAGCATAGTATATATAAGGTTCAGTACTATGCATGGTTTCAGCCATCCAGTTGGGGGTCTGCAGATAATGGGGGACTACTATACAATTTTTTTAGCATGGTTGGGGAGCTAAAAGTATAGTTCCTACTATTCTTGCCAGAAAATGGGAAAAAATTGTTCAATCCCATATTTTTATTATATATGAAGTAGTGACATGGACAGGAGACAGAAACAGTGGGTAGAAGAAGGCAGTTCTCAGCAAAGGCCCCACCATCGAGCCTGGAAACCCACAGCACTAAATGGCAACAGGCATTCCTGTTTTTGCACCCAGTAGCTGCCTTTTGGCCCACCATGCCCCGCTCTCCTCTACGCATATAAACCTGAGACCCCAGGCTCCAGAAGGAGACAAAGAGATGAACAGAAGAGCAGAAGAACAGGAGAATGGCACAACATAGTGAGGAGGAGCATCAGAATGCCGAGAGGAGTTTACCAGCTCCCCATCAGTCCCACTGAGCCACCTCTATCACCCAATAAAAGCTTCACATTCATCCTTTGTGAAAAGGCAGAGGGTCCACTGAGCTGTCTAACACTTAAGCCAACTGTGAACGGCAAAGCTAAAAGAGTACGCGTAACACACACCCATTTGGGCTTCAGGAGTCGCAGATACACACCCCTGGATGTTGCCCTGGGGCTGAAGCCTAGGAGCACTCATTCCAGCCCCTGCACCTGTCCATCAGTGTGCTCCCTTTCCCGTAAGGGGTTTAAGCAGGCACGGCCACCAAACAGACAAGTCACACCCCTGTGGCACATCCTGCAAGGGGGGTCAGGAAACTCCTGTTTCAGTAGATATATTTTATGAGAATAATGCCCTCCTGAGGGAATGATCGTTTATGTGGTGTATGTGTGTGCACGCATGTGTGTGTGTGCATGCATATGCCATGACTTTTAGCACGTGTGCATGTATATGGGGACTTGTTTGGGCAATAGTGTCATTTAATCAGCTAATGGGTACAAGAATCGATGCTGTTCTCTTTACAAGACTCCTGTTTGTCTCTTTCAAGTGTTCTTCATTGCCTGTTTTTTTCCTGAGAGCCAACCAGTCTTTTCATAGCTTGGAGACAATGAAAATTACTCAGAACCATCTTGCCTGTGGTGTTTCAGGAACTCTCCCCTAGGCTGCTGCCATAGTAGGCGAAATATATTGGTTTTGACTCTGAGTCTCATGTAAGTTACCAAGTGGCGGATTCTTAGCTCTGTGACTGCCATGGCTCAGCAAGCACCCTGAGCTGAAGATCTAGTGGTTTTAACTTACCTCCTGATGGTCTTGGTGAAACGGTCCTGGCACACTTGAGCCACTTACTCAACATATCCTTGAGTGCCTCTCATGTGCCTGGCACTGTCCTGGGTGTTTGGAATATATGTGTGAAAGCCATGTAAAGGCTATGCTCTTGGAGTCTCCATCAGGCTCTTTCATAACTTTCAGTTTCCCACCTTCTGGAATGAGAGGTCACTATTCCAGGCTGTGGGAATGCATTCATTTGCTTGGCTTTTTTTTTTAAGCTTCTAATTTTGTGTAATGTATGAATGAGATACCATTGCTGCCCTCAGGGAGTTTGTGTGTGACAGAGAGAGACAAATGGGCAGGCAGATGTGTAAGCACTTTGCCACCAGCAGATTGGCTTCGTGCCATAATAAATTAGGAGCAGTGGCTCTGAGGGGAGGCAGGAGAAGGAAAGAGTGACTCTTCAACTGGGGTGGGATTTTTTGACAGAGGTGCCGTTTGGCTTAGCCTGTGGCTGGAGAGTGCTTGGGGGATGTGACAGTGGGGCGTGTGGGAATGGATGTAGTAGACGATGAGGGTCTCCACCCTCTGACTTTGCAGAGATGAGCAAGGCCAAGTGTTGGAAGGGCTTGAACACACACTGGAGTATTCTGTGAGAGCCAGTGGATTTCAGAGGATGGCAGTGACACCACTTGCCTTCCGCCTTAGGAGGATAACTGATGACTGTGTGTCGGATGCACTGGAGAGCAAGAGCCGGCTCGCAGGGAGACCAGCTGGATGATTCGCTTTCATTTATTTTACTCATTCAACACACATTCATCTGGGGTTCACTCTGTTTCCAATACCGGGCATTTCCAAATAGTTCAGATGGCATAAGTGTGGTTGTGGCAGTAGGAATGGGAAGGCTGGGAAGGGTATGAGAGGCATTACAAAGGGGAAGTGGGAGTGGCACACCAGAAAACCTAGTTTAAGGTGTCAGTGGATGTGTGCATTTGTGCGTGGGGGTGTCTAGAGGGCGGCGGGCAGCTGGAAATGGAGGTCAAGTGCATAAAGAACAGCTCGTTGTGTAGGACCTCCCCCCCACAAACTCTGCTTTTGTGGTAACATGCAGAGGTTTGTGAGAATCCCCAGTAATTTCTTAAACTCAGGCTGGGTGGGAGGTCAGTCAGCCAGGGAACTCTGCAAGGAGTGTTGCCACTTGGGTCAAAGTAGACCTCTGAAAATAAATTTTATAAATGATTGCCACTTTTAGATGACAGTTTAAGAAGAGTTAAACCACTTTCATGCCCTAACTCGAAACACTTTCATGCCCTAACTCATCTTTCAAGTTTGAAATTTAAATGTGTGTTTCTTTGTTCTGAGTGACTGGAAGATAAATATGAAGACAACTTTGGTGGATGCAGGTGGGCATCTCAGTTCCTTTTGCTGAGTTTCACTTGCTGTCTGCTTCACTCATCCATGGTGTAGAGAACTGCAGCAGTCTGCCCTGCTGTAACACAGACAGACATCATCCCTCACAGTGGCTGGATAATTCCAGATGTAATGCCAAACAGAGAAAACTGATTCCATTTATGTTTTGTGATAAGAGGTACAGAGAAAAACAGAAAGCAGTGTAATGACTTGTCTTGACAAAATGCTTCCGCGGCCCTGCAGGAGCGAACCCACTTCCCCTGGTTAAGGAGGGGTGTTGCATTTTAAACATGTGGTGGTGGTTACTCATTGTGCTTTTTTTTTTTTTAAGGTGGGAAATATTGTTCTTTGGACTGAGTTAAATGCAGCTTAGCATAAAAGACGTGATGTGGAACAAAGCCTGCGGACTGTGACTACTTGACATGCACTGGGCTAATGAGGAGACAGAACGTCTCTGATCAGCAGCAGAACAAACACTCACAAAGGGTCTCCTTCTCTCTTAGGACTTCCTTCGCTGGGCATCTGGCTGGGATTCTTGTTGGACTAATGTACACTCACGGGCCTCTGAAGAAAATGATGGAAGCATGTGCAGGTACAGAGTAAAACACCTTTGGCATAACAACAAGCTGGACTTTCATCTTCATTTTAATGCGAACAGGAGCAACCCCAAGTTTCCCTGTGGTTCAGCTCAGGAATTCCCTAATACGCCTGTTTTTCTTTTTAAACCGAAAGGTAAAACAACCAGTGCAATTCCTTACGTTGCACCACAAAAGAGGCTGCACACTTAAATTTTGAGTCTGATACTTTCTTAGGGGACAAATATCAGTATGTATTTATACCCTCAACCTTAATGCTACCCACAGAAAACCATGATTTCCTAAAGAATGCAGAGAACTAAAGTGCGTTTAAAAGAATGCATTCTTCCGTAATAGTCCGTGAATTAATATACATGCAAGGCAGAGTTGAAAAAGAAAATGAAGCCTGGACTGAAGTGCATGGCCAGTATTTTAAAGAATTCAGACTGATGACCAGGTCCTTGGTAGATGAGCCATATATTCATGCATGGCCAAACCGAGTCTGTTGCTGCTTGAAGCTTAGCTCCTGCTTTTTAAAATTTTGTTTCTCCCTTCAAATTGATACTCAGTGAAAATATTTCATTTAGAAATACTTGTGTTTTTTAGACCTCTTAATTTTAAATGCGATTCTCATTTTGACTTGTAAGAAAACTGGTTTGCAAACACTTGTTTTATAGAGTGAGTTCCACTATTTCATCTTTTATTCATGGGAGAGCTTCTGAGACTATTTTACCTTTTCTTGAACCATAAATAATTTTTTCACAGTTTGTGCTGATGACTGGTTTTCTTGAGAACCATATAATATTCATGATATTAGAAAGCTTTCCAGGCACTGCACTGGCACCTTTATTAGCAGGTCGTGTTCACTTTTGGTTGATTTTTACAGGCTGTGTTGCATCTAAGCAGATTCTCATTTTCCCGTCTTGGCTTATTAATGTGCTTCCGCTGTATATACTTAGAGGAGGCAGTGGGAACTTCATTTATTGAAAATGTCCAGTTTTATTATATTTTCAATATAATTAATACTCATTAGTACTGATAAAAGAGATGATTCTCAGAAGTTTAATGTCTTGTTTCTTTTTTCTGTGTCTCATGATGAAGCGGTTAGTAAAGCTTTTTGCAGACATGTTATGAAATTTAAGCAAGTACTTTAATTTTTAAACAGGATTTTCCCCATAATTATAATATTTAAACTCTTAGTTTTAAAAGCCTTAAAAAATGAATGGAGACTTGTTTTTACACCACTCTATTTTCAAAGTAATAAATACGATAGAAAATTAAATAGGAAAATTAGAACACTCAGTGCAATTTGCAAATAGCCTGCAAACTCGGCCTTTTTTCTGCGAGCTGAGAATTGAAGCACACAGGAACCCCATGGAAAATGACCCAGCATGTGGAAGCTGCCGTCTGATGCCTCCTGAAGAGGAGGGTCGCCCTGAGGGTGTGGTCCTTGGCCCTCCCTCCCTCACTTCATTCAGCTGTGCCAAATTGACTGAGTAGACAGTCCTACTGCCTTCTATAGGGACAAGAAAGGGTAAAGTCCCCTAGGAAGGGGAAGGAGCGTGGCTCTCCTAACACCCTTGTTTGAGGAAGGTTCTCCATTTAGCCAGAGCGTCTCTGCTTAGACAGAGGCATCAAAGCTGAGCCTTGGTACTTTGGCAGGCAAAGACTAAGGAACTTCAGTGAGTGTAAATTAGGGTTTCGTTTTCCAGTTCCCACCCCCAAACGCGCGCGCGCGCGCGCGCGCGCGCACACACACACACACACACACACACACACACACACACACACACACACATTCTTTTCCCTGTCGGGCTGACCCCCAAACAAAAGGGAGTTGATTTTAATAAGTGTTTAGAAATCATTTGAAATGACCTTAGGCTTTGTCCCAGAGAACTTCCTAATGACTGGAACAATTAGCATTTAAAACGTTATAGCTGCCATTAAAATGTTTATTTCTTTTACATTTAGGTGGTTTTTCCTCCAATGTTGGTTACCCAGGACAGCAATACTACTTTAATAGTTCAGGTAAGCAGTTTATTTCATTTAATAAATTTTAACTTATTTTTAAAATTATAGTGTTCAGCTCTACAGAGTACTTTAGGATACTGCTAGTTGACGCTGTGGTGGAGTCGTTCACATGTTATGTAACTGTGCCTCTAACATGCCTGGAAGCTAGTTGGAGGGGTAACCTAGGGAGCATATTTGTGTGGGTTGGTAGGGAAGGCCAGGGAAGGAGGTAACTCAGACATGAAAACATGGTATGATTGATATGAGGTCTCTCATGTGTGATAAGGTTCATATTAGACCTTGGTGCTTCGAGTCTCAGTCTGAGACTCAACTGCTGGGAAAGTGTTAGAAGTTGGTTTTAGGTATATAGTTCTCCACAGCCCATCCCATGTATATTCAGGAAACCCTTGCATACCCTAAGATGCTAAAATAGGCATGCTGCTAATAAATGCCATGTGACTTAATGAGGAAGAATGTATTTTTCTAAGTGTCTGTGTAAATAGATAGAAAGAACCTGCTGTTAAAAGCATAAGACCTATTTTAGGCTAAAGCCTTTGCATTCCAGTCTGGGGTGGCTACATGGTAGTATCTTAGATCAGGCCCGGCAGCCAGGTGTTAGCCATGGCCATTGGGACACTCATGTCTTAACGCAATGGACTGATTGTGCCCCTCCCCAAATTGATATGTCGAAATCCTAACCCCTAATGTGATGATTTTAGTAGGGTAGGGATTTGAGGAAAAAATTAGGTCATAAGGGTAGGGCCCTCATGAATGGGATTAATATCCTTGTAAAAGTGACTGCAGAGAGCTCTCTGGCCTCCTCACTGCCACATGAGGATACAAGAAGTCAGCAGTCTGCAACCTGGAAGAGGGTCCTCACCAGAACTGACCATGCTGGCGCCGTAAGCTTCCAGCCTCCAGATTGCAAGAAATTTCTGTTGCTTAAGCCAGCCAGTCTATGGCTGTTTGTTATAGCATCCCAAATGGACTAAGATGTGTTTGTGTTTATATTAATTGAGGACCACTATAGCTTAAAGCTGAGACTAGCAGCGGTTTCTTTAAAGGACCGGACAGCTAATATTTCAGGCAGTAAGGGCTTTATTGCATATAGTCTCTGCTGCAACTAGTTAACCTGTCCTGGTAGCATGAAGGCTGCCATAGACAATGTATAAACAAGTGGGTATGGGTGTGTTCCAATAGAATCTTATAGCTAGCTCCTGCCTTTTCTACTGTGTAAGGATATGAGATTGACACTCTGTCAATTTAACCTTACAAAATAGGGCAGTTCTACTTACTGTCTTTTCTCTCTCTTTTGCACTCCATTTATTTTCTATTTTTTAAAAAAGAGAACTGAAGAGAACAGCTTCTTCTTATATGGAAGAAGCACAGTCACAGAGACCAGAGAATTAAGGGCGAAAATAAAAAGCCCTTTTTACCTCTTTTAACCTCTGTAAGATTACCATAGTTATATGCCTTTCTCTGAAGTGATTGGATTTCTTCAAAGGCAGAGCTACATGAGGCCAGGTGACTATGCTAATAGTCATCTAGGGAACTTTTATGAGAGCATGTGTATATCTTACAAGTAATGATTTATTCTTAATATGGCTGTCCTTAGCTGGAAAAGTCTTTATAGGTCGAAGAACCTCATGAATGTTTAAAAAGCTGTTACCAATTTTTCTAATCTTGGTGGTGTTTCTTGATCTCCTTTGCCATGAAATCCTGGTATGTGTATAAGGAACAGATGGAGTAGTTAATAGAATAATGATAACCAGATTTTCTTTTACTACAGAGCCTAAGTATGCAACTAAAAAAAAAAAAATTAAACTAGTATTCCTCTCAGGACATAATTTAAATTTATTTATCTTATTTGTTTGATTGCTAGGTTTTTCCAGGCATGTTTATTATGAAGATTTTAAAACATCTCATTGGGCCAGTGAAACAGCCATAGAAAATTTGGGGTCCTATGGGAGGAGACCTGTTTTCATGATAATAGATATTGATGAGATTTTGGATCCTGTTGATGATTTATGATCGATGGTATAGAACGTTTAACCACACTGGTCTTTCTGATTTAAGGCACCAGAACATTCCCATGTTCTTTCCCCATGTTTTGTCTGACAAGTACCAAATTTGTTTTTATAATATTCAGATGTTTAGAGTTGTTGAATTTATTTCATTGAAGAACTGCTAGATTATTTTCAAATAAGAAATAGCATGAAGAAAAATGTTTTTCTACATCAAGAAAATGTTGCCTCAAATCATCGCATGTGTATCTGGCAATTAAAACTCTGTGTAGATGTATAATTTCTATGTGGTGAGCAAATATGCAGAGACCTTGGGTTATTTTGGCTCTTGAATTAACTGAGCATTTTTGGGGGTGGATAGGTAGAAATGCTGCTTAGATCTTACATAACAGAATGGCTTTCCACAGGGGTTTGTAAGTGATAATGAGCCGTGTGGGAAATTACCCAGTATACTTTCTGTATTCCAGTAAAATAATTGGCACTCTTAGGGAATTGGGCCATTTCTCTATGCAGGGATTGCTGAAGCATCCCATGCTATTCAGTGACGTCTCTATAAATATTCTATTAGTGTTGCAGAATGGTTGCCACTTACTTTGATTCTTTGTGGAGAAGATATATTAATTGTGTTTTTACCGTTTGTCCTCACGTGAAAGGTCTTTTTTTTTTTTTTTTTTTTTTTTGATAAGGAGTGAGAAATAAGATTTGTAAAAACACTACCATGGTCTCCTTTACTCTCAGGGTCTGAAACTTGCTGGCTGAGTGTTCCCCAGCGCAGCAATGGGGGCTGAATTTTTCTGATTCTATTGGATAGAGACCAGTTTAAGAATAAGTGTTCATATTTAAAATGGTAAGATCCAAGTTCAGTTTTAAGCTATTGTGAGGATTTGGAAAATGTACTTGTCTCCTTTTCCTGTTTTAAATATCAATAATGTTAATATTTTGACATGGGAAACAGGTGAGAGAAAATACGAAAGTTGGGTTATTAGAGGTATTTAGTGAATTCTCATTAATGTTTACTGCACTGGGGCAAGGCTTTTCAGGATTAGTCTCCAAAATCCTAAACAATTTTATTTAATGTTTATTTAAATCATTCCTTTTTCTTTTACTTTCAAGGACATTCAGTAAAACAGAATCAAGTTAGAAGAGTTTAATCACCATCACTAAGAATGGACAAAAGATCTAGATAGACATTTCTCCAAGAAGATATACACATGGCCAATAAGCACATAAAATGACACTCAACATTATTAGTCATCAAAACCACAGTGAGATACCACTTCATATGCCCTAGGATGTTTGTGAATAAAAAGGCAAATAATAGCAAGTGTTAGTGAGGATGTGGAGAAATTGGAACCCACATACACTGCTTGTAGGAATAGAAAATGGTACAGTTACTTTGGAAAACATTCTGGTGATTCCTCAAATAGTTAAACAGAATTGCCATGTGATGCAGCAGTTCCACTTCTAGGTGTATACTCAAAAGAAAGGAAAGCATATGTCCACATAAAAACTTGCTCACAAATGTTTATAGCAGCATTATTCATAATAGTCAAAAGGTAGAAGTAATACAAATGTCTATCAGTTGACATTGGATAAAAAAAATGTGGTATAAGCCATACAGTGGAATATTATTTGCTCATAAAAAAGAATGAAGTACCGATAAATATAACAAACTTGATGAACCTGGAAAATATACTAAGTGAAATAAGCTAGACACAAAATGCCACATATTACATGATTTTGTTTATATGAGCTATCCAAAATAGGCATATTCTGTAGAGACAGAAAGTAGATTAGTGCTTACTTAGAGCTGGAGAAGGGATGGGCGGGTGAAGATTGTTAGCTAAAGAGTATATATTTCTTTTTGGGAGTGATGAAAATGTCCAAAATTGATTGTGGTAATGATGGTGCAACTCTAAAATATACTAAAAACCACTGAGTTGTATACTTTAAATTGATAAATTGTATGGATGTCAATTATATCTCAATAAAGCTGTTCTAAAAATATCCATAGACACAACTAATTCTCATGACCAATATTTATATAAACATAATTATATTAGGCTATCAGCTGAAACTAGTGTGTTTTGTCATTTGTTGTTTATATGAAAATGAAGTCTACTAGAGTGCTGATTAACAGTTTCCCTTTTAATCTTGCATATTAGGTAAATATTCATAAACAATACAACAGTAAATTTTAAATAGCCTCAGGACCAACTATCAAAAATTCTGAGCATGAAATCTCAGTTAATGAGATTCTGCCATTCAGTGTTCCTCTTTTGACTGGATTGTGTTTTCTTCTGTAGCCTTATTAAAGCTCTAACTCAGGCCTGTACTGCTGTACTGTGGGATAATATGGAGATCTGTCACAAAGACTCATAGTAAAGGTTAGGAATCTTCATCAACAATCCAAACCACATTATTTAAATATTTGAAACATCAACTTCAAAGAATATAATAATGGCAGGAAAGAAGAGAAAAAAATCAAACAGACTATTTTACTTCTCTCTCTTTATGCCAGAATGAGATTGGTAACCTTCTGTGGGGAACAAAAATCTCTTCCAAACAAATTCTCTAACTATTGGCAGTTAAAGAAAATGTAAGAAATAAACTCAAACTGAAAAGATCATGGAAATATCTTGCAAAATGAACTTTTCTCTGTTATTGACCTTTATTAATGGAGTACCTAAGTTTGGTACCTAAAGCATTACTTAACGACCGAGTCGTCTCTTCTCTCTTGTTTTATCTAGCAACTATTATTTCGAAGTTGTATTTTCTTTCTTGTTTTATCTAGAAGCCATTTTTTGGGGGGGAACTATAATCTCTGACATAGAATTACAATTACAGAGAAATTGGCTGCATCTTAATGTTGTTATTGTCTGAAATATTCTGTGGGATCTGTATGAAACATTGGTCTGCCCCTCATTGTACAGAGCAACAAGACATTAAGACTTTCTTAGCTATTGTTTCCACCATTCTCTTGACTCAAGCCAGGAGTTCACTGAAAACTCTCCAAGTATTGAATAGCTCTAAGCTGAAAGAATCCACTCCATATGTCAATGGCTCATTACTTCTGACTACCCTCTGAATTAATATCTCCTTTCCTCTTTAGCACATAAGGACTCAATCGTGTCCAGCTCCATGGTGGGCACTGAGGATACAGTGACAAGACGATCACCATTTGGCATCTTTTCTTATTTTGAGGATAATTATTATACCTAAAATAATGTTGTGCCTTACTTGCTTGTCTTGCTTATACAAAACAGGAAGTATAAAACAACAGTCCATAGCTGTGTTCTAGAACCTTTTCCTTGTGCCTGTAGGCAGCTCTGGATATCAGGATTATTACCCGCATGGCAGGCCGGGTCACTATGAAGAAGCACCCAGGAACTATGACACGTACACAGCAGGACTGAGTGAAGAAGAACAGCTTGAGAGAGCTTTACGAGCCAGCCTCTGGGACCGAGGTAGGAGTCTTGTGCCCTTCAGTTATTTTAAAGCATACCTCTTGTGGTAAGGTAGCCTGAAAAAGGGCTATTTGTAGCAAATCAAATTTTAAATAGTTCAGAAAAAGGATACGTAGATGAAAAATGTGTGCAGATTGTGATTACAAAGAATGGGGTGTGATGCCATATTCCCAGCAACCTGAGCTAGTAAGGTGCCAGACTGGGTATGTATTGTTAAAGTGGTTCTTTTTATAGGCCTGCTGCACTCGATGCTTTGGCATTAAAGTCAAGAAACTTAAAATTCTTAGATGCATGATTAAAAAAAGAGATTTTCTTTGGAATTCATATGTGTAAAGAAGGCTCAATGTCACTAAGTATCAAAATATTGCCCATAAACCTTCCACAAATCTCCCTCAACATCACGTGGGCTAAGAATTCAAGCTCAGGTTTGACTTCTGCTGAACCAATCTGTCTGAGGGTAGAGCCTAGAAATTTGTATTTTGAACAGGCTTTCCAGGAGTTTCTTTTACAAACCGATATCTGAAAAAACGCTGTATTTATTCTGCTGTCTTTGTTCTAGGTTTGGATTATGAGTTTGGGAATTACTGTTTTTATTGTTTGAGTAGTGACTAAAAATCAGCTATTCATTTAAAGGGCATTTGTTAAAGTTTTACGTTTCATGTACAATGGTAGGTACAATAGGGAACACTGTGGTAAAAGGTGGAACCTACCCTCAAAAAGTTAACAATCTGTGTTTGGGCATATGCCTACTAGATGTGATACCACACAGGTAACCCTAGTATCAGGTGACTAAGAGAGGCTCAAGCTAAGTGCTAGAGGTAGGGAGAAGATGGTGAGCTTTGTCATACCTAGAACTATCAGATTCTCACAGAGGAGATAGCGTTTGAGTTGGACCTTCAAGGATGTGTAGAACTTGAAGAGCTGTGGACGGGCATTCTCTGTAGAAGTCTGAGTATCAGCATAGAAGTTAGGGTCATGTTCCGCCAGCCCTCACTTTTGAATGGACAATAAGAGAAGAAAGGGAAGAAGATTGGGAAGCTAGGCTGGGGCTGGATCACAGGGGTCCTAGAATTAAATAGGCCAAATGGAAAGTGGATTTAGTATGTGATGTAAATGCCAATAGAGGTCTGCATGGAGACTGATGTGGTCAGAGCTCTGTTACAAGAATCTGGTAGTAGCAGTCATTCTGCAAACAAGATTGAGCACCTGTCGGGTACCAAGCATTATGCTAGATGATGAGAGTACATAAATTATAACAATAAAATTTCTGACTTTAGGGAATACAGTCTTAGCAGCAACAGTGTGCGTGGAGGTGGGGAGTGACAACAAGCAGGGAGACAAGTTGGAAGACTATATTGCAGTAACCTGAACAAGAAAGGAAAGCCTAAATTATGAAGGTGGCAGGGGAAGTGGAGAGGAAGGCATACATCTGTGTTTCTCAGGTGAAGAGTTTCAGAACTGTGATGATATATCAGTAATCTATCACTGTGTAAAGAATCACCCTGAGACTCATGGATTTAAACAGTAAACATTTATTCTTGCTTGTGAGTATATGAAGCAGCTGGGCCAGGCTGAGCCGATTTTGGCTAGCAAGCTAAGGTGTCTGCAGTGGTCTGCTGGGGTCTGGCTGCTCTAGGGTGGCTTCCTCTACGTGCCTGCCTGACTGATGCTGGTGGTATGCCACGCCTCATTCCTCATCCAGCAGGCTAGCCTGGGCTCATTCACCAGGCTACAGCACATGGTTTACAGGAGAGTGCAGAAATCAACAAGTCTTATGCTGGCACAGTGTCAGTTCCACTGTATTCTGTATACAGTTACTGAAGCAGGTAACAAGACTAGCTCAGATTCATGGGATAGGGAGATAGTCTCTACCTCTTAGAGGAACAGCAAAGTCACATGCAATGGTTATAGATAGAGGGAGAGGTGGAGAATTGTAGCCATTTTTGTAATCACTGTATCACATGTAGTCAGTGAACTGCCAATATCACAATCATTCAAAAGCATGCCTTAGCTATGGAATCCTGAAATCCGGGGGAAGGGCCCACAGTCTGTATTTTAACAAATTCTGATGGTTATTCCTGTGCACACAGAGGTTTAATCACCACTGGGCTATCCATGAAATACTATGGGACACGTAGGGCAGGGCAAAACTTCTCAGCGCGGGCTTCATACAGCCTGTCTCTATCCCCATCTAGGCTGACTTCAAATAAAGTCCCAAGAGCCAAAGAACACAGCATTAAAGGAAAGATTTGGACTTATATTTGGGGGACGTCGTCTGATTATTACCTTTGGCTAAGAAAATGTATATTCTAAAGTAGCAAGCCTTCATAAAGAGTGATGAAAAATCAGAGGGAAAAATTAGGTAGCCCGGGTGAGAATATTTGAATGTGAGACGTAGAAAACCTCCCACGTTAAATGTTGTAAGAGAAAGGAAACGCAAGAGGGCAAGCTTACTTTTTGTAGTTTTATTTCTAAAGCGTTGCTATATGCCCCCATAAGTGACTATACAGGAAGTTAGGTCTAGTAGTACGGGTGTTATTTTTTAGAAAGAGAGAGAAAATAATGACTTCCTTCAATAATTTGGGCTCAGAGACATGAGCATGGAAGATCTGTAGAGGAAAGCATCCTCTGATGACCCTGGTGATTTTAGGGCTATTTTAGAGACTTGAATCTAGGTACAAAGGAAGGGTCTTACATTTTGGGAGTCAGAAGGAAGTTGGAGTAGATTTTTGAGATGTTTCCTTAAAAAAGAATGTGTTTATTATTAAGTTAATATAAGTCAGTAATACTAATTTTTCCTGCTTAACAATAAATGGTATTGAAATATATACTAACAGGCAAAAAAAGAAAAAAAAAAAAAAAAGAAAACAGGCTACCTTCACAGATTTCAGAAAGTCATCTTATAGTAGTGTTGATTTTTCATAAATTTAAATCTCATTCTTAAAAAACTTCTTGTAAAAATAACTCAAGAGAGTATACTGAACAGAAATAGAAACAACATAAAATTTTTACTACCCCTATTTTAAATTATTTTTTGTTTTTTCTTATCCTTAAAACATTTCAGTGAAGTTAAGAAATTAATCATTTTTACTTAAAAAAAAAAAAAAAGTTTTTACACATCAGATGCTATAAGACTTGCTTGGTGAGAAGAGTATTTCTGGGATTATTTTGAAGCCAAAGGTTTTGTTTCTACCTCTAACTAGTTGCTTGGTCTGAAAAAATCTAGCTTCTACTTTGTGAGTATGGAGTTAAGTTCTAAAACTCCTCACAGTATAAGACTGCTAGGACTAAATGATCCAGAGTTTGTGCTGAATTATTTTTGCTATCTAACCTTTTATTTTAACAAAGTCATAGGTTTTTTTCCCCTTTATTTCCCTTCCTCCTACACATGTGTTTTCAGAAAATTTAAAGCAGTCTCTTCTTTCCATTCATGAAAAATCGTACAAGTACATAGAACTTGTTTGTCTCTCAAACGGCCACTTAGTACATCTGAAACAGAGTGACCTTGTTTAACATTTTGAATTACAGTGAATGAAATATAAAAATAAATAATTTTAAAAAGAAGTCATGAAAGTTAATAATTGATGATTTTTGAATATAGGACTTTCTAAACAGAAAAGTAATGAAAAAATTGTGGAAGATAGATCAATAAAAACTTTGATAAAGAATATAATCAGTATGTAAAGAACTCATGCAATGAAGTAATTAATACTAACTCCTATTAGGAAAATTGAAAACAATTTTAACATATAACCCAAAGACTTCTAAGTGATCAGTGTGCATCTAAAAATAATTTGCTGTATATTAGCAGAGAGTTACTTTGTTTGTCTCACCACGTTTTTTATTTTTATTTTTAATTTTTGTGGGTATGTAGCAGGTGTATATATTTATGGGGTACATGAGAATTTTGATACAGGCATACAATGTATAATACATCAGGATAAATGGAGTATCCATCACCTCAAGCATTTGTCCTTTCTTTGTGTTACAAACAATCCAGTTCTACTCTTTTAGTTATTTTTAAATGTACAAAAAAAATTGTTGACTGTAGTCACCCTGTTGTGCATATTAAATACTAGATCTTACTCATTCTAATTATTTTTTGTACCCATTAACCGTCTTCATTTCTGCTTATCCTCCACCCCAGCATCTGGTAACCATCATTTCATCTCTATCTCCATGAGTTCATTTCAATTTATAGCTCCCACAAATAAATAAGAGCATGCAAAGCTTGTCTGTCTGTGCCTGGCTTATTTCACTTAACACAGTTAAGTGACCTCCAGTTCCATCTACGTTGTTGCAAATGACAGGATCTCATTTTGTTTTATGGATGAATAGTATTCTATTGTGTACAAGTACCACAGTTTCTTTATCCATTCATCTGCTGATGGATACTTAGGTTGCTCCCAAATCTTGGCTGCTGTGAATAGTGCTACAGTAAACATGGGAATATAGATATCTCTTTGATATAATTATTTCCTTTCTTTTGGGCATATACCTAGCAGTAGAATTGCTGGATCATATGGTAGCTCTACATTTAGTTTTCTGTGGAACCTCCAAACTGTTCTCCATAGTGGTTGTACTAATTTACATTCACACCAAAAGTGTACAAGGGTTCCCTTTTCTCCATATCCTCACCAGCATTTGTTATTGCCTATCTCTTGGATAAAAGCCATTTTAACTGGAGTGAAATGATGTTTCATTGTAGTTTTGATTTGCATTTCTCTGAAGATCAATGACACTGAGAACCTTTTCTTATGCCTTTTTGTTATTTGTATGCCTTCTTTTGAGAAATGTCTATTCAGATCTTTTGCATGGCTTAAAAATTAGATTATTAGGTTTTATCCTGTATATAAGCAGCTGTTTGAACTCCTTATGTATTCTGGTTATTAACCTCTTGTCAGATGGATAGTTTGCACATATTTTTCTCCCATTCTGTGCATTGTCTCTTCACTTTGTTGATTGTTTCCTTTCCTGTAAAGAAGGTTTTTAACATGATG